AATTTTCAGTTGTTCATTTTTCATTGGAAATTATGACGCCAGACGTTTTGCAATACAAACAATAATGCAAAACGAAAATAATTCTAGTTAAAATGATCAACAATTTAATTTGATCGTCTAAAAATCGGTTCGACTCGGTTCCAGTTTCAGTTCGATTTGATCCTCAAAATCGAACCGATACATCTAGAACAGTCAAATTCCAAGGATGCGCGGATATGTCCCGGTTAATTAACTAGTTAATTAACATCAGTGGTACAAAATTATTCGACAAATTAAAAAATAAAATCTAAAATTATAATAATTATTAGCTCTCAATCTATTCAAAAGATGACTGTTCGGTCAAGAATTCTTTTTTATTTAATAGCAATATTGCTGCTATTGCAAACATTTACAAAAATAGTGACTGCAGGTACGTCCATATAACTGAGATCTTGGAATTATTTTTTATTTCAGTAAGCAATTTTTGTTTATGTAGATCTACTTTTTCCTTTGGTTTAGATGAGTTCGATGAGGAGGAACTTGTAAATTCACAGGGACCGGAGGAACCCGTTCTTGAAACATTTAAGGACCCAGTACCGGAGCCAAAGCCTATCGTTGTACCAAGTTTGTATTTAATATTAGCTTTTTTAATGTTTATTTCTTTATTTATTCTTTATATTTATTAAATTTTTATGCAGAATTAGCGAGACCAAATTTCGAATTATCAGATTTTTACCGAGAAATATTTATGATAATATGTATAATTGTATATTTGATTAATTATTTTATTGGCAAACAAATTAATGAAAACATTGCAAGGAAATGGTATATGGTTAATTTTAATGATTTAACTTTTTTTTAAAAAATTTCAATTAACGAATTTGTATTCATTTTATAGGATGGAAACTCATATTTCTTTGCTCAGAGATAATTTTGCGCTTGTTGGAACCGGAAATGACGATAGTAAGCCTCTTATTAGAGATGGGCCAGCAGATTATCTTTTCTATCTGAGCGGTCGCAGAAATTGTCAGTATGTTCATGGAAGAATTACGGTTGGACTTTAATTATTTTATTGTTATGTATTACCTTTTTTGTTTATACTGAATTTTTTTTTTTTTATGATTTTATGATCTAATATTTGTACAGCTTAAGGCAAGGCATAACTTGATTAAAATCATCACCAACATTATTATTTCTCAATTTAGTAGTAATGTTATAGAAGATACTGTGGTAATTAAAATTTTATGTGGATTCCTTTTTTAAAAAATCTTTTTAATCTTTTCCTTACTTTTTTATTCATTATTTCAGACATTTAATGTGTGTATGAACGGTGAAGAATATGACAATTTTGTTTTCGCCATCACGAAAAAGGAACATTCTAGAGAGCTTCGAGGAAACCGATATGATTTGGTATGATTTTAAATTTAAAAGTACATTAAATATATATATTTTTTTACTATTTCAGTATAATTTTTTTCAATGACATTTATTATAGCAAGATTTTACCAAACAAGTCAATAACAATCTACTTCCAGGAAGTTTATGTGCACAAACCGAATCTTCTGAAGTTACTGATACATTTCTTACCAAGCAAGTAGTCGAATTTTTAAGAAAGTCTGAAATTTATTTAAATGCTATGATCGTGACGGATCAATCGCGTGTTAGACCAGAAAAGTAAGCAATTTTTTTTGTTCTTTGGTATCATAGAATTTTTTGAAGATTTGATAACCAATCTTGTATGGATTATGTAGAACTGCTGAAAATCAGCCAAAATTGTTAATGATTATTAGTTCCATTCCTGATGATCTATCTAAACTTAATGAAACTTTACCTGTTTCAGAATTAATTATGTACATGATTGATTTCATTCCTGCTAGATGTTCATTCAGATTAGAGGTGATGTGACAAATATATACAATTACATTTGAAAATTTTACATTTATTTATGGGCTCGTTACTTATCAATAATTCTGTGATTCAGACGAAGAATAAATTAAAGAAGAACAGAGATGATGCCGAGAAAGCCATAAACAAGGCTTTAGAAATTGAAAGACAAGAAGTAATTAAGTTTTAAATTGTTATAGAAACTGAAACATTATCTAATATTTAAATTTTTTATATTTAAGGCTATTCAACAGAAGAAAGCTGAAAAGAAACGTGCTGAAGCTGAACGTGTTGCAAAATTATCACCCGAAGAACAACGAAAAGTAAGTGTGATCCTTTATGCGTTTATGGCTTTTTTTCTTTTTTTAATTAATAAATTTAATATATTTTCAGTATGAAGAAAAAGAACGTAAACGAGAATTGAAAAAGAAACAAAAAAAATTGATCAAAAAGGCTTAATATAAAAAAAGACCCCCCCCCCCACTTCTCGCATTAAAGAAATAATTCAATGTTCTGAAGTTTAAATTAATTTTTTTTTTATTTAATTATTGTAGAATTATAACTTTTTAAATACTTATAAATTAGAATTGTTTAATAAAAAACTCTATTCTTTATTTAAAAGTAAGATATTCACATTTTTTTCATTGATTTTATTAGTATTATTATTATTATTATTATTCCAATCCTCAAGTAAACAAATATATTATAAATTGGATTGATTAAAAGGCTTTCCCAGTGCGAGAACAAGTTGGAGTTAATGGTAATAATGCAGCTGCAACATTTCTTCCTTCTTCAGCTAAAACATTAAATGTAGCCACAGCATTTTTCTAAGGAATCGATAAAGATAAGAAATTATAAACATAATAATAAATCAATAATTTATACGATTTGCTTACCGTATCTATAACTTCAGTTTGCATTCCCAAATCATTAATGTATTGTTTGATATTTGATGGTATTGGAACAAATGATTTTCCGGTTCCAAATACCAATAAATCTTTAACAGAATTAAAAACATTCAGTTATATAAAAAAAAAAATTAAAATTTTTTTTTTTTTAAAAATTTTTAAATGCTAACTCACCAGGTTTTGGTGTTATAACCTCGAATAATTTTAAGAAGTCAACGATCCAATTATCAAATACACCACCTTTTCTATTAATACCCTGACCAAATCCTTGACCTTGTGGTACATTCCACATAAATATATCACCATTTACTAAAATTACAGGACCTTTTACCTCAATTTCATCTCTAGTTATAAAACCATTCCTGGTTAATCTCGAAATCGCTTGAGAGGAAAGGATTGCCGAATCATCATACATATTTTTAAATGCCGAAGATAGTGAAGTTGGAACGATCGTATCAGATTTTGGAGGTTCATCATCATTTAATTGAGAGGGAGAAGATTTGGGGATGGAATTGTATAATGTTGAAGATGTATGTAAAGAACTAAATGGAAATAACATTTGATTTATAAATGATATCTTTGGAAGCCGAAAAGCTAATTTACCTAATAAATTCATATTTAAACCTGTTTTTACATTTACAGAAGCTTTGCTTCCAAATTTTCCAAATTTCAATATATTTTTATGCAGCGGCGTGGCGCTTAGAATAAAAATTTGTGATACGTATTTCATTGGTGCGACGTCGTCTGACTACGGAGTTTTTTTTAATTGGAATTCGCAATTGTTCTTTACCTGAAATGATTCTGTAATAAGAATGATTTACAATCTTATTTGAATAAATGGATAATCTTTTACGATTTTACAAATTAGAATGTGATTAAATGGTAGTAGATGATAATCTTAACGTGAACATTGTCATGGGATCGATTAATAATCCAGTTAAAAAAACCGTTCTTTTTTTTTTTTTTATATCCCCATACATATATGTTTAGTGATGCTAAAAAAAGAACTCCCTTTCAAAGGGGAGTTTGCTGGTTGTTACGGGTGTTGGTTAATGCATCATGATATAATATTTTAATCACATGTAAAAAATATACAGAAAAGAATAGCTTTTGTTCTTTATTCGTTCGACCAAAAATCCACATGACTCGGTTAAATCTGAATAACCGAAAAAAAAAACCCATATATATATTTAAAATATGTAAGAAATGCGCAATCTTTTTTTTTTTAAAAAAAAAAAAAAAAAAAAGCCCCCCCCCCCCCCCCCCCCCCGATTTTTGTTCAGATCAAAAAAAAAAAAAATTCTTCCCTACCATACAATATTTCCCCGATTCGATTTATTTTTTTTTTTTGTAGATACCAAAAGAAACATTTCTTCTTTTTTTTAAATTGAATAAAACAATAAAAAAATAAAACAAAAATAAAAAATATATTTATCCCAAAGATAAAATAAGGATATACATATATATAAAATATATATATATAAAAAAGTAAATGAACTCCCGAGTAATAAAGTTAACACTGAGCTATTTAGCAGCTCTTTTAATATCGTCGGTAAGCGGTACGCAATATCTTTTTTCTGCGTACAGTACAACGTTAGCAGACCAATTACATTTTAGTTCCGTTCAAATAAATACAATTGGAAGTGCTGCAAATTATGGTGTTTATCTGTGCAAACCGCTTTTTTGGATATATCGTTGATCATTATGGAGGAAGAAGGTACTAACAATTTTTTTTTTGGGGTTCGCCCGCAGAAAACGAAAGCGTAAAAATTACAATTAAACCTTTTTATCTTTTCCTTTAATATGTAAAGGACGACATTGTTCGCTTCTTTTGCCGTGTTCATGGGATACTTTTTACTTGCCATGACATATAACGGAACTCTTTCTAATTCTTCATTCTTATTGTGTGCCTTATACGTTTTCATATCAGGAATGGCATCATCCGCGGGTAATTTTTGTGTAACGTTTTTTCCACAAACAAATTATGACGAATTATTTTTTAAAAAAATATCATTTTTTTTCAGGTTTGGTATCAAGTCTTGTGACGATCGTAAGCATTTATAATGAATTTGTTTTATCAATTAAACATGATTTCAATCATTAAAAACAAACCTCTCCTTTTTTGTATCATGATAATTTAGGCGAAAAATGTTACGTCATTTAGAGGGATTGCATTTGGAGCACCGATGGCATTATTCGGATTAACAGCAGCGATATACTCGGAAATAGATACATTATGGTTTAAAAATGATACTTATCATTTCTTACTTTTCATTGCTACAAGTGCAGGGTTGTGTATGTTTGTTGGCAGTTTGTTTTTAGTTGTCGTGCCTCCACCAAACGATCAAGACAAAGTTATTGTTGTTGAAGAAGGAGCCTCATCTAATACTTCCAACACTCCAAAACCTGATAAACAAGATGATAAAAATTCCGAGAGGTCACCATTATTACAAAATAAAGCGAGAGAGGAGGAAATCGACATTGGTGGCTGGGAACTATTTTATAATCGTGACGCTAAAGTATTGGCTGTATCAATGTTTTGTGTCGCTGGTACAGGACTAATGTATATTAATAATGTTGGAACGATAATTAAATCTTTATATTATAATTCAACTCATCCTCACTTTTCACCGGAAGAAATTCAAAGAATTCAAAATCTACACGTGTTTTACCTTTCGGTTTTTTCATGTTTAGGGAGATTCACTTTTGGATTCTTATCAGATTTGGCTAAATTATTATTTAAATTGCCTAGATTATGGTTTTTCATGTTGTCCGGTGTTTGGTTGTTCTTTGGTCAAATATTAATCTTATTTTATGCCATTGATTTGGATAAATTATTCATTGTTACATTTTTCGTGGGATTTGGATTTGGTAATATATATGCTATTACTCCTACAATCGTTAGCGAATGGTTTGGTATTAAAAGATTTGGGTTAAATTGGTAAGTTAATTTAAAAAAGAATACATCAATGCTTTTAAAAGATTTCGGATTAATTTTTATTTTTTTTTCTTTCTTTGGTTTGTAATAGGGGAATCATTGCCTCTGTAAGTAGTTTATAATATATATATTTAAATATTTCTTAAAGTTTTAGCTACGATAATAATTTTCCTTCTTTATACTTGTAGGTTCCAGCATTTGGTGGACAATTATTTAATTTGTTATTCGGTTTGAATTATGATCAACATAAAGATCATTGTTCAGGAGCGCATTGTTATAACAACATTTTTTATCTTAGTGCATTTGCTTGCTTGTTTAGTGCACTTTCTTCTTTGGGTTTATTATACGCTAAACATAAAAAATATTAATTTAATAATTAATTTATTGTTTTAAAAAAAAAAAACGTTATATCTAATAAAACTAGAAATATCTTCTTATTTAACTTTATAAATCCAAGGTTCAATTTTAAATAAAAAGTTGTTCACGTCCCAGGAGCGTCATTTATTGTCAATATATTCGTCAACGCTAACCACAAACGTTCATGTGACGATATCTAATTGGTTATAATTTATGATTGGTATGATTGGTCCAAGGTATGATAAAAAAAAAAATCATAAATTAACCAACTTTATCAATTTTAATACCATCACCAAAGATATCAAGTTTATTTCCAAAAGAAATAAAGTTTCATGTTGGCGATTAAAATTTAAATAAAATTCATAAAGTCGGTTTATCACCTGATCCAAAAAAGTTAATAAATTTCGATTATCACCCGTAATTTAAAATTAAAAAAATTTTTTTCGTCAAATAATTATCCGAAACAGCCAATTTTTTTTTTTTAGCACCGGACATTTATAAAAAATGTTAGAGGATTGACAACGCCCAAACTTTGCATTTCACATGTAAAACGTGACATTCGTGCAATGTTTGATCACTTGACTCACTTACTTTAATAATAAATATGAGCCGATTGTTAGGCACTCTCATTAATTTAACAAATACACACACATCTTTACGCATTTTTGAAGATAAATCTCTTGAACATTATAAATTACAATTCTTTTAATCATGATTGAATTATCTGATGTCGAAAAAACTTCGGATATATTTTTACATATTCATCAAGTTCAACAAGAACAGTATATTGATTCCTTATGTGAAGAAAAAACCATTAAAACATCAGTCGCCACTACCTGTATTATTGGTTTGGTCGTAATTTTATTTTGGATTTTCCTTTAATTGTGTTATCTACTGTATATATATATATCAATATAATATCATGTTTATAATAATTAACACGATGGTTTATAAGAAGCTTTATGTATATTTTTGGAAATTGAAAAAAAAATTTCCTAATGGGAAATTTTTCTTTTTAGAAAAATATTAGATATATTTTTTTTTAAGTATATATGTACAGAATTATATTATTTAAACTGAACCTATTATTAATGATACTTAAAAATTATCATCCGGAGTCACACCCTCCCCCCCTCTTACTTTCATTTTTTTTTGTTAAAAATTTCTTAAATGGGTATGTGAAATCCTATTTGTCACAAGAGATTAACAATATCATGTGATACTGGTGATCATTTTTTTCTAGAATAAAATTTTTTAATATAATTAAATCTAATATAATTACATAATTTTAATATTAAAGAATTAAATATTATTTAATTAAATTTTTATTTATTCCTTCAACTGTTTTGCTTACAAATTTGTATGCAATTTTAATTATTTTTAAAAAAAATTAATACTTTTATAATAAATTTTGTGATGTTTTCCAAGTAAAAATTAAAAAAAAAAAAGTATTTAACTAGTGATTTTTTAAAGATAAATAAATAATAAATTATTATAAAAAAAAATTAAAATTTTAAACTTATATATCTTGCTATCTATCAATCTTAGAAATATAAAAATAATACCATTTTTAGATTTTATCCAATAAACTAAATTTTATATTTTTTGTAATTATTAAATAATTAATTATTTTTAAAATTTAAAAATTTAAAAATTAATATATATTAATAATTATTGATTTTAAAAATTTTAAAATATTACCATTAGATACATCATAATATAATAAATCTAAAAATTTTATTTTATTTTTTTATAATCATTTTTAAGTTTCTAAAATGTTTTAAAATCAATTTTATATTTATATTTTAAGGAATAATTATAAATAATAAATTTAAGGTAATTATTATTAAAATATAATTTAATTAATATTTTTTATAATAAAAATTTCTAAAATTTAAATAATTTAATAATATTAAAATTATATGTATGCTTTCAAAAGAAATGAGAAAATTTTAAAAAAAATTTTTGAATTAATAAACTTAATTTACTAAAAAAATATTATTTTACATATAAAATAAAGTTTATTTTATTTTTTTTTTTTTAGTAAAATCCTTTTTTTTATTGTAAAGTATTTATATGAATATTTTTTAAAATTATTTTATTATATAAATTGATTTAACTAATTATAGATTTTAAATTTAATTAAATTTATTTAATTTTTATGATAAGTTTTATATATTAATTGACTTTTTTTCAAAAAATTATTTATCTAATTTTGATATTTTAAGTAAAATTATTAGTAATTAAAAATAAAACTATAAAAAAATAATTTATTTTATATATTTTCACTAGGTTTAGTTTCAGTTAAAAATACTATAATAATTAATTTACTTATTAGAATTTATGACTGTAGTAAATTCTTTAAGTCCTATAAGTATCTATTATACTTAAATCAATTTAATAATTATTATATCTTAAAATTTAAGATTTATTTAATTAAACCCAAAACGAATTTAAAAGCAAATTAATATAAAGTATTATAATTAAATACTAAATCAAAAATAACATTAAAGAGAAAGTAATTTTTGTAGATTTTAACTGATTTTTTATTAATAATTTAAAATGCACAAAAAAATTTAAATTTGCATAAGAGTTAATTTACAATTTAAGCAAAATGTTATTCTATTTATACAAAATTAATTTATTATAGTTAAATACTTTACTATATTATAAATTAAATATATTATAAACTTTAAATATTATATAATAAAAAATAAAATATAGTTAACCTTCTATATAGTTATATTATTTAGGATAAAAAATTTAGTATAATTATAAAAAGTTATATACAGTCAACTCTTATTATAATGAACTCTATATTCTAGATCTCAACTTCACTATCCCTTAAACTGTAGAGGATCGCAGGCAAATTTGCCTGCTTATTTACTATAAATTCCCTTCTAATTTACTTTTATGAAAAATTAAAATTTTAAAAAAATTTTTTTTTTAAATTAATTTTATAAATATGTATAATATTATAGTAAATTTTAGTTTTTAATTATATAATAAATAATTTAAGGTTACTTATAAGCTAAAAATTTGTAA